TTTATGTCTTCATGTATGAAACGTCATGATCAAACCTGAGACCTAGGTAATGTATGTAGGGAATGAAATGACATGCAGTGCAATATATCGCAATGTAGCGCAATGTGATGAATTGCATCTACCTAAATATGCGTATGTGGTTGTGGACCTGGGGAATTATAGATAGACAATGCCCATAGGGACAGGTCACATATAGGCAGCCAAGCTGCGTGGAGGCACACAGCCACTGATGCTCATCGTAGATAGCACCTGACAACTGAAATCCAGAGAAAGCGACCCTTCACTTTAAAATGCGAAAACCTGTACAAGCAACTGCAGCTCGCAAAAGCGATGATCCATGTGGAGAAAGCAATCACATGACTCCAATGCACCGTGCATGTTGCTTCCTATTCACCGGGGTTCCTTATTCCCCTTCAACCATCCCTCCAATCGGAAGCTCACCTGAAGCTCACCTGAAGTGGGCCCAACAGGTGCCTCAACCCTCAAAATTCCCCTAAAAATGGGCTTGACCCCCAAATTTATGGGTTGATATCCCAATTTTATGGGTAGGTTGAGGGTCCAGGTGGTGTTTCAGACCAGTCTTGCGGGGGGAAGCCTTTGAGAACCGAGACCTCGCCTCGCCCGTGGTCTTATCCTTCACGTGGATGGTGGGGTTGCCCAAAGCGGACAGAACCTAAGACCCGAGGCCCGGTGCATCCCGGCGCTGTCTGAGGGAACCCAAAACGAAACCGATTCGCCCTCGGCGTTGCGAAGGAGCCTGACAAAAGACCTGTATGCATGAACTGAAGACTGAGAAGAAAAAGCAGTCGAAGACTCTTTGCAACTAAGCCCTTTTGAGCTTGACACAGGAGGTGTGCCTGGACATTTCCAGGTCAGGAGCACCCACGATTTTGTATTGCCTGGAATGGTGATTCAACACATTCTGCGTTCCAGTGGATCTATGCAATTCTTTGGGCTGTTCCACAGGCAATGTTTGCAACATCCGCATGTCAAGTCTGCCCAGCTCACGTAAAATTCAGCATGCTAGTATCACTGCTAGCATCTATCAGCTATGATAGCTTGCGTGACTACGCAAACCCACAAGCTCATCAAACAAGGCCCAAAAGGAAAGTGCACAGGGAAGCAAACCTACCTCCCACCCACATACCTAGCCTCCCAAACAGCACACTCCCCATGAGAATGACATGAAGCACTTATGATCCCCATCCACGTGCCTTCTCTTCCCCTCTCTTCTCTTGTCCTCCCCGTCTACGGAGTTCCCCATATATCCTCTTTACTCATCACCCCACCAGAAGAAACATCACTTTCAACTGGCAACCAAAAGGTGATGTCTGAAACCACCGCGATCCTTGCTTGGACCACTTGTCACGTGTGCGAGCAGCCCGTGTCCACCAAAATTGATGTAAAACTCCCAACAGGAGAAGTGTTCGTAAATATAACTAAGCAATTACACACATATCGCTGATCAAAATTTAATTTGGCCCCAATCTACGCGGAAAATAAGAAGTTGAGACTCAAACACCGACTCCAGACTTGAAGTCCACCCAAAAACTATAGCTTTGGAGCAGACCCCAAGACCCCAAGACCCTCCACTGGACTCAGTCCCCGGCGTTCTGCAGCGCTTGCGCCTCCACCACGACGCTGGCGCCTTCTGGCGCCAGCGCCAAGCCCACGGAAACCCGCGCCACGGTGAGGTCCGAGGCCTGCGCTCGCGTCAGGGCCCCGGCCGCGCCGTTGGTCACCAATGGGATCGAGGTGTAAACTTCTCTTGTCTCCTGTCCGCTTGCTTGCGACATGTTGGTTTCTCCACGTTTGGTTTCCTTTTAAGACTTCACAGCACACCCTGTCCTTTTGGTTCAAGCTACGACTCAACTATAAAAAGTGGAAGTCATCCCATACCTTTTCGGGCGCCCATGTCTCACTGAACTTCGGTCCAGGGAGCTGCAAGCGCCGCAAGTGGCAGCTTTCGGCCAGCCGACGCCTGCACGTCCTGCCCAAAGCTTAGCTCGGGGAAGAGCTCCTGACGCGAGCGAGCTTCCGAAGCGCCGCTTCAAAGGGCGCAAGCGGCGCAACCCCAACAAAGTCATAATCTCAAAATCACCGGTTCTGGGTCGACCAAAAAAGGATATGAGTCACAATCAAAACCCGGTATTAAAATGGCCGACCCAGAACCATGCTTCAAGAAAGGCGGATATCCGCGATTTATGGCTGGGATCGGCCCTTAACCTTCACTTGCCCGGGTTTTGATTGTGGCTCAACTGGACTTTGTCCACACACAGTACTCCGGATGGTGGCGAAATCCATTTTGCACCACCGTTCAGAAACTCATGCAGGGATTCTGAGTCGATTCCCCAACGTAAATACCAACAAACAATGGTTTCAACCATGGTTTCTTCCCTTGTAAAAAGGTCACAGAAGGATTGAAACAGGACATGGCATCCGGCATCCCCTTGTAGAATGACCGTGCCCTTCTCGGGGTAAAACCAGCAGGGTCCGCAAGCACAACTCAACGTTCGCCGCAGGGCAACCTACGAGCAAGCATCTCTGGGTCCAAAGCGAAAAGTTATTGTAAAATTTTGCCATGAAACATGGATTGCTTCATCATGATGTGTCGCCAACCCAGACTTCAGGGAACCAAAACAAAGAAGCATCCATGATGGCCTGTACCGTAAGTAACGTGCGAATCACCAAATTGACAACGCCTTTTTCTAACGGCACATTGTGACATGTACGCTCACTCAAATGTAGTCTCCTCCGCATGCTCGTGCGAAGGAATGAGAACTTCGCGCCTCACGATGCTCACTGCTCTCAGCGCGTCTTGATTGTCAATACATGTTGAAAAGGGCCCGTATTTGAAATCTCGCCAAAGAGGAAATCATAGTTTTATGTTATTGATTTGCAAACGTAAGTCACTGCGAAACACGATCAACACTGCAGATCTTCGCACTTGCGGGACAAGGCCTTGCCAACATGATAATTACTTCCTGATGGACGCGATCCGATGCAATGGTCGAAATATTGGCAGTTAAATGGCTTGCAGCCCTGCAACCATCAACTTGCTTGTCAGCGATACAGTCCGTTGCAAAATTACATTGCTCAAGCGATGGAGCTGCAGTTGCATAACACAATCACCGCTGCACAAGTTGAGTGGCCGGCTTCCAGCTTGAAAGAATGGTCATTTCTCAAGTTAAATCATGGCAAGTCATCAAACCCAAGATACAAACCTTGACTCACCGTAGAACTATCAACTGAACCCCCACTGAACCCCTCATCTCCGGTGCCGGACCTCCCAATGAAGTTGTTCCTCAGCCGCTTCGGTTGCCGTGGAACGCAGCGAAAGCTGGTGGTGGATTCACTCCACGTGTTTGGTGTACCTGAACCCTCAAAATTCCCTAAAAAAAAGGTTTGACCCTCAAAATGTTGGATATCCAATTTTTATGGGTAGTTTGAGGGTCCAGGTAGATTGGCTGGACCTTGTAAACCATTGTACACCGGCCGAAGTGAAAGAGCAAACGGGGGGGGCAAGTGAAAATGACATCTTCCGCCATGCGCAGCTTAGACTGAGCGTAATGTGAGCTGGTCGCGAACATTGATGTCAACAATGCAACCACACAGACAACTATACGGGTTGCATCTTGCGGCAGCTTGGCATTCCTGCGATGCCCTATCTTGCCCGCACAAGACCAGGGCTGAACATGGCTGGTTGCTGTACATTGGTAAATGAAACACTCTACTTACACAAGCTAGCACACCATAGCACAACTCTATGAGTTGCGAGACGCGCAGGCAATATGCGGCTAGTCAACACATCAGAAGACAAGGCACACATGTGATCTATGTTTGGCGGGCCGCTTCAAAGCAAACAAAACGACGTCTGACAGCCAGAGCTGGGATACATTCCGCATGATACTGCTGCCTGAGTAACCACCAGGCTGGTGGTATCAACGCGACCACAATGAACCCTCGAGGAATTCCGGAGAAACACACTCAAGACGTGGGCAGCCAACGCCTATGATGTCAGACCCAGCTTCCAATAGTTAACGACATACAGCCTCAGCTTTCAAGAAAGATTCAACAATGAAAGAAAGAAGGAAGGACGGAAAGGAAGGAGAAAGGAAGGCACGAAAAAAACAGAACGGCTGAACAACTGACCAAACACATTCCGACCCCCTCCGCCAACCAAGCTGCTTCACGGCAAAGCGCAACGCTGGCCTGCCGCACATGGACACAAGAGACTGCGTGTCTAACGGAAGCACTGCTACACTTTGAACCAGCACGAGACAACACCTTTCACATACACTGGAGTGGTTCTCCAGTTCCTTGAGGAGTTAACTATTTGTGCAGGCTTCCTTTCACAAGAAAGTCTTCCAGTCAAGAGATTTACCGTGTTGGTTTTAGTTGGTCAGTCAGCCTTACGCAGGATTTGAAGGGGGGAAAAGACCTCTATTTGTTTGCAGCATCCAACAAATACCCTCCTACAAGCAGCCTGTGCACTTCCATGTTTGTGATCCAGCGATCCTGCTCAAAAAGGGAACCCGTTTTGGGGCTTGACCCTTAAAGGAAAAACAACTGGGGACCCCACCAAACCGAAACGGGACAACGGGTACTGCTCGCAAGCGGAAATCCGCGGCCGCCTGTTGTGGCCGGCCAGCTCCAAGAGCAACAGCCCGCCCAAGCCGTCCCCCGTCATGTTGATCCTAAGCGCGGTCCGAGGCGACAAAGGTGCCGGGCCAAGGTGCGACTATATTCAACATGTAGCTCCCGCATCTTCATGTTCGGTAACATGGCCGGACTATGTCGGACCAAGAACCGGAGGTCAGATAGAACGAGGTACCCAAGCGCTAATCGCATTGTAGGTACGGGCCCATGACACTACGCGTAGTGTCGAGGCAACTGCGTCCGGAGGCGCATGGAGGAACAAATTAGGCCGTCGCGGCGGAGGAGTGCATCATGGGGCACAAGAGAAGGGGGATCTTGGCCAAGTGGAGAGCGGTGGACATCGAGATACTGCCGGCACAAGTAAAATAATCGGTCAGGACGGATTGAACCGACTCCTGATGTGGGAAGAAAGGCCTGGTCGAAAGGCCCTGGACCTGCAGACCATGACCAAATCGGACAAGTTTAATCTTTTTAGTTTGATCCCAAGGCATGATCTGGGCACCAGTAATGGTGGTGAGAGTCCTAAGGCTGTGTACGAAGGCTTTAACCTCATCGCCCAGCGGGCGGGCATCAAGAGTGGGGACATAGTGGATGCCCTCCGTAATATAAGTGCCTTTGTGAATCGCGCAAGGAATAGGAATGGGACACTTGGTCTCAAGTCGGAAGGAGACAAGGAGTTCTGCCCAAGAGATCTCAGCAGAACTTGCCTCATGTGAAGTTGGGGGCCAAAGTAGGAAGCTCGTCCAGGCAATCAAGGCTGCATTATATGAGGCGCCCCAGGTGGATGCCGACTTCCAATCAGGGCCTTGAATTGGGTTGGGGGTGGGCTCAATTATAGTGGCGGTATGGGTACTGAAGAAGGCACCTATGGCAGCCAAACCTAAGTACACTGGGCGCCAGAAGGCGGTCGCATCTTTCTTCCCCTGAAGAAGGTGTTGCTTAATTAGACTCCCGGCCGTCATGGGAGACCGCGCCTTGGCTGCAAGGTCGGCACAGTGATTGCCGAATTGTCTGTATGCTTGGAGTGGGTCCGTTGAGTAATTTTGATGGGATTTCATCTTAATGAGCTCGATACTTCGGGAAGCGGCTGGCCAAAGAAGTATGGCACGGGACAGAAGAATTACAATGTCATAGTTATCACACCCAAGGAAAAGGGTGGGAAGATTTTGGAGTTTTTCTGCCCAGGAAATGGCGTATTTGCTATCCGAGTGGACCACGACGCACGGGCCAAGTGAGATTGCAAGGGTAATGGCAAGAAGTTCAGCCCGCTGGATAATAGCACGGATCGGTGATTTACCTGTGCATATGACCTTCATACAGTCCGGCCATTCACAAGTGGAGAAGAATCTTTCAGCGGCCCTAACCCGATCAGGGTCCGAGCGAAGCATGTCCTGGATGACCGCATAGCCAGCATCTTCATTGAAAGCACTTCCGTCGGTGTATGCAAAAAAATCCCCCCCCATCTTGGAAAAGGGGGCTTGGGAAAATCGGGTACGGCCTGGAAGAAACAAGGCGACGCCAACCCTCAATGTGATCTCCCATTGGAACCCACGGGCACTTTGCCAAGTCAGGAGGGAGACGAGAAAGCTCGGGGAAGGCTTCCCGAATGTGCGCAACGCCACTACAAGTGAGAACCCTGTGGGGTATAGTGTCTCGATCAAGACAGTATGGGCAGATGGCATCCCCGTCCGACCAAATACTGGCCTGGGCCCGGGTGGTGACACTCACCGCTTAGGTGGATCTGAACAAGTTTTTTATCCCCATCGGGGAGATCCCCAACAAGTTTGTTAGTTAAATCCACATCAGGCAGGGTAAGGTCACTCAAGCCTGATCGGCAGCAGTGAAGGGACCAAACTGTCCTGATCCATGAGTCGGCAAGTTCCTGATCCAGGATTTTTGGGCACATGTCAAGAAATTGAATAGTACCGAGCGAGGGGAACCGGAGCCGGAAGTCTGATGCGGGGGTAATATCAAGGTCGGACAGGTAAAGGCTAAAAGCGGATACCGGACCTGGTACGTGTGATCTGTTCCCCCGCCAAGAGGCAAGGGAAGACCATGAAGAGTCCCTCTGGGAGGGGGACATGATTAGGGTCTTCCTGAAAAGTTGGAGGGCTCTACGGTAAACCGTGAGTTGAGGGTCAAAGCGGCCATGTTGCAGGTTAAGAAGGAACATCTTAGGGCTAGCATTGTGGTAACGACCAAAAATGGATGCGGAGGCCGCAGTACGGAGTCTCTTAAGATGATTCGCCCCGATATATGAAACTTCGCTGCCGTAGAAGCCAGTTGAGTAGGCACTTCCTTGGATAAGGTGTGCCTTGGTGAGTTGAGAAATGGGAAGGGACTCAACTTTCTGGATACGGCAAAGGCACTCATCCAAGCGGTTAGACAGGAGACCAAGCTTGCCAGTGTTCTTGTACCGAATAAAAGCACCAAGGTCACGTTCACCAAGGGACCTAGGGAAAGGGACAGATTTCAAGGGAGTGGGGTCTCCAGAGGTCCAAACCCAAGATTTATTAAAATCCAGTTTGAGATCCCAAGCATGAGAGAAATCAGAAATGATACTGATACCTTGAGCACGTAGACAATTGGCCGGCATGCTGAAGAATCACAGATCTTGAAGATGAGCCAAGCGCCCACCAAAGCGGCAGCTACCACACTAAATGGACCCCTCTGGGATACCCCTGAACGAGGGGGGGGGTCAGAGTATGCCCCGCCGATAATCACGGACCTTTTGAGCTGATGAAGAAGAGAGATCCAGGCATCTGCAAGGGCCGCAGGAATACCCGAGGCCACAAGAAGGTTACGGACCAAAGGCCTGGGGAGGCAATTGAAGAATTTTTGAACGTCCGTGACTACGCCCAGGGCGGGGGAGTTAGTGATAAGGCAACTTTCAATTTCGCATTGCAAACCATACCAAATATCGGTCGCCCCCCTTTTGGGGAGGCCTCCACGAACATGGGCTGGAAGCGTGTAAGAAAGTGCCAAAAGGCATCTACGGGCTAGACATTTCATGCGAACACCGGTAGAGAAGTCCCATAATAGTAATGGGTCGCCCGTGGGCAATTACCTTCGGGTCAGGCACCTTGGATGGAATGCAAACGCGGGCGAGTGTGAGGACCTCACTCCAATCGGATGAGCCACTAATGCACGCGTTGAAGATGTCACACCAATCCTGCAAAATGCGGGGAGGGAGGCACTCAAGTGCAGGCTGGGACAAGCCGTCTGCTCCCTGGGGAGTTTTGCTCCACGTATCCTTAATGCAAGATTGAAGGTGTTGGACATCAACATGGGGGTCGATAAGAATCTTCCACTGTTGAGGGAAATCCGAAAGTCCTGAAAATGGGAAGGGTTTGCAGTAGGGGACCAAGGCGCCCCCCAAAAAGATTCCCAATATCTGAAAAGCATGGAATGAAGGGAGTCGGGGTCGTAAGACCACCTTTCAACTCTCACATGCAGAGAGGGTGGGGTCTGCGCACGACTAGGTAAACAATATCACCGGGGTGAAATGTGCCCGGACAACACGAATACGTAGCCGGTCCTTTCAAGCGGGAGCGGCATCGATTAAGAACGAGTTGGAAGGACTCGCATGCACTTTGGATAGGGGGATTACCTGAAGGGCCGATAAGGCGGTATCCTAACCTATTCCCTTGAAAAAACCCGGAAGTGATTAAGATTCTTGCGAAGGGATTCAATCCTGGCAGTCCGCGTAGCTGAAACCTCGAAAGTCCTTTTAAATGAGTTTTGCCTTCAAAATTGTGAGTGGAATCCAATTTTCACGGCTAGTTTGAGGGTTCAGGTATAAGAACATGTGTATCCAAAAGGGTCCAAGGTATCTCCAATGCACGTTCCGGACTCTCCAACGCACGTACCGTCGGAAGGGTGTCTCCCTGACGTGTCGGGCCTTCAAACTTTTTGACTGACGACCCGGAACCCTCATGGGCCCTCATTGCCAGGGGTCAGGGGTCTCGTGGTGAGGGGGCATGGCCTTGGGTTGCACATCCCGACCAGCTCTACGCCGGTTTGATGAAGAGGTAAGGAGATGTTAGTACTTAAGCCCGGGAGTCAACTACCCAAATTGGCCATCAAGGTGAGCAAGCAAAGTCAACACATGCTGGAAGAGTCAACCCCGAAGGCTGCATCACACTCGCTGCACTGTTTTGCGCAATGGTCAGCTCGGTACCGGTCAGCTCCGAATGCCTCGCGGGCATTTGTCTCTCTCGCGACAGAGAGGCCGGGACAAGCACGTTGGTCACATGCCGGGACAAGTGCAATGTTTGCGCAAAGGCATGGGTTTTGACATTGTGGCGCAGTTGCTTGGGCCATGCAGCAGTGAACTGCCCCGGCCCCGTTGCTTTAGCGTCGAGCTTGTTTGCCCGCTGGTTGCTCGGGAAAACATGGGAAACACTGACATGGAGGGACCGGGGCAGTTGGACGGCAAAGAGGAAGAAGTGGCCCGTCGCCAGGTTGCAACACTGTGTAACGTGCTGTGAGTTTTCAACTTCAATGCTTGGGCAAACATGGGAATGACACGATTGGTAAGATCTCAAGAATCCTGATGCTACACTTGCCCGGCTCCGCCTATGTGAATTGCGCCGCTGCCAAAGATTGCAAGAACAAGACCTTGTTTCCCGACATCGGGGATGTTGAGAAAATCACTTGCAGCGCTACCTTGAGTTGGTGAAAGCGATGTTCAAGATAAGCCCCAAAGGAGTTGTACATGTGTGTGTGTGTGCTTTTAGCTCCTTCGTTTCTTCTGCACTTTGCTTATGACGCACACACGTTGGCCTTTAGGAGAACATACCATCCAGTGCTTGCAGCTTCCCTTCCATCATCTCGATAAGAACGCAGACTACCGCCTTTCTGGCCAGAAGTTTGTCCGTGACAGAAAGCGGTGGGCCCTGGATGAACCTTACCATAATTAGTTGGGTACAGTCCATGCGTTTGTCACTAGCTGTGTGCCCTTCACGCACGCCCGTGCCTCAAGGAAGCCTACACGCTGTATCACCTCCTGAGCTACGCTCGACGATACTGGCGCAAGGCGAAGAGCCGGAAGACTCAGACACCTGCTGCTTGGTTTCATGTTGTACGGAAGGCTGGCAACCCCGTGAAGCTGGAACACTCGTATTTGGCCCTTGAACATGCCCACCCCCCATACACACGGGAAACCTTAAAGTCTCTGTGGTCAATTTACACCCTAAAGAGTTCATCATCAATGGAGTCTCGGATGTAGCTTGGGAACATCATTTTGTAAGGGGACACACATTGACTATTGAGGGGTTCGGGCAGGGAGGTAACTTACAAATAAGATGCCGCTGGTGTCACTGAATGTTGCTTTGCTGCA